CCGTTATCTCACACTTGGTACTCTATCTCATGGGGCTGATTTTAAAAAAGAGACAGTCCTGTGTTTGGTATACTATTATTTTCCAGTGTTTTCACTACATCCAGAAACAGACAAAAATGTCAAACAGCAGATGACAGATAAATTCGTTAATTTGTTCAGACACATAAAACAGATAAGCATATATCTGAAATGAACTAACTTGATCATTAAAAAAAATTATATATATGAGAAAATGCTTCCATGTAGATGTAGGGAAGTGTATATGCAAAAGAATATATGGAAAAAGGAGAATACGAATATTCATGCACTGTGATTATAACTGCATGTAAATTATGTCTGCATGAGAGAAAAGATTATTCTCATGGGGAACTTAAATTGATGTCTTCAGACAAAAGAGTAATGGAGAACATTTTGTGTGGAGTTCCATTCATTTTTTTTAACTGTATGGGGATATGAAGGTTTCTTGCTCTGTCTTTTGAGGTCAAAGTGGATTTAACCTGATTCTAACTTGTTTTTGGTCCTTGCTGCTATACACTGCCTGAGCTCAGCGTTGGTCATGAGGCAGGTTAGACATCAGGCATTTTTCCACCGAAACATGAAGTAGAATGATTCTGGACCAAGAACCCCCAGGGAGAGGGATGCTATAAGAAAGTTAAAACAAAATGACTGAAGGGCAACTCAGAGTTGCTCATAGCATACTCCACAATAGACCAGAATTCATCAATCTAGACCACTGCAGTAGCCTCTACTGGCTTCCTGGCTTCCACTCTTGCCCCTTGTATACTCTGCTGTCCCCACAGACATCAGATATAAATCGCTCCTCTGACCACTCTTCTTTCCAGCTCAGCCCCAGCTACTGCTTAGCCTTTCTATAAAACATACCGTAGTCTATACCTGCCCCATGTATTTATATACTTGCTTGTGTTGGTTTCCTTTACCGGCATGTATGTTTTTGAGGGCAGACACCTTGTTTCTGTTATTTACCACTCTTTTCTAGCATGTAGCACAGAACCTGGTACATAGTAGGTGCTCAATAAATGTTTCCTAAACAAATGAATGAATCTAAATATATCACAATAGAAACATTTCCTAGATAAAATGTTAGGTAAAACAAACAAACAAACAAACAAATAAATAAAAGCAAGCTTTGGGGGAGGAGGAGAGTCCTCTATTTGAATTCACTCACCAAATATTTACTGATCACCCCTACATCTTGTGTTGTAGGAACCATCTTCTGGTTCCTACATGTGTTTCTCTGACCTCTCTCTTAAAATTCCAACCACTTGAATCTTCCTCTTACTTGTTCAAAGCTAGGCTATAAACTACTGTCTCCAGGGAGTTCCTACAGCAAGGAATTTCCTGTTTGAAGTCTTATATTATTTGCTCTGTTCTCTCCTCTTTTGTCATTGAGCCTTGTTCTGTTAGGGATTCATTTGTGTAACTCTTACCTCGCCAACTATATCTATATCTCTTGTTCTTCCTCCTTCATTCTTCCCTCCCACCCTCTTTTTTTTCCTTCCACAAATAATTAATAAGTAAATGGTATGTGTCAGGCACTGTCCTAGATATTGGTGATACCGACTTTAGCAAATTAGGTGCCAGCCCTCATAAAGCTTATAGTCTAATGGAAGGTGGGGTGGAGGATGACATTCACATAATAATCATACTAATAAATGGGTAATTATAACTTTGGCATGTACTCTGAAGAAAGGGTATATATTGCTATGGCAGAGACTAACAAGAGGAGATGACATAGTCTAAGAAAATCAAGGAAGATGTCCCCAAGAAAATGACATTTAAAGTGGAGACCTTAAAGCTGAAGAAAGATAGAAGAAAAAGAGACATGAACTGAGACAGATGAGACCATGTAATAGATTACGAAGTCCACTTTCAGAGAAAAGGGGACAACTACAGAGGGGACAAGTCGATTTCTGATAAAGGGCATCAGGACATGATCACTGTTACCATGTGAAAAGCTCCTGCTGGCTACTGTGGGGAGAATGGAGTGGCAGGGGGCCAGCGTAGAGTGAGTGCAAGGAGACACTTAGGAAGTGGTAGCGGTCCCAGGTAAGCCACCACCTGCCAACTCTGTGCTTCTTTCTGACCCACTGGCTGCTCCAGCAGGACGAAAGAGCTTCCTTGCCCTGCTGCAAACTCTTGCACATCTCAACAGGGGAATCAGGCATCTTGCACCAGAACTAAATACATGTTAAATTAAAAGGCTCAACCGGTATTACGATGACAATAAGCATGGCTATTTAAAGTTAGAAAATAGACTTAAATTGCAGAACTACAGAATTTGGTCCTGAATAGGTAGAAGGATTATTTTTCATAAGATGTCTTAAATCTACAGAACTGTAGAGCTGCAAAGAATGTAATTTTACAAATGAGAAAAGAGAAAAAGAAGCTGAAACCCTGAGAGGGCAATGGTAGCCAGCATCACACATCTCATGATGCATGTATCTCTCTCCCCTCAAACTTGTGTTTAGCCACAGAATAGAAGGAACCCAGAACCTTGATATTAATCTGACTTCGAAGACTCCTTTGATGTTTCTCTCACTTGGAAATAAATATGTTATTCCACTCTGCTGGCTCCTTCAGAGATATTATGATGATATAAATAACAGCTAATTTTGAACAGGTGCTTAGTAGGTGACAGGATTTATGCTAAGCACTTTATATATTAAGTTGAACTAAATGATATTGTCAATATCTGATCTCTTTTGATCTACCAAATGGTGATTTCAAATAGTTTCATCTAAATATGTTCTCTCCGTTACTCTTTACCAGCTTCCCATTAAGTGAATATTATTATCACACCTATTTTACCGACAGGAAGACTGAGGCTTTAATTTAAAACTAAAAAGTTTTCTTCCCACAAGTATAGTGATGTTCTTATTAATGGGTGATAAATAATACACTTGTGTGCAAATCAATGGCCTTAAATAATGGAACATACATAGGGCATGAGCATTAATAGCTCACATATCTTAAGTTTCTCAATGATTTGGAGTAAATTTCTAACCAATAAATTTTTATAAGATTTAAATAAATGCTTTTAAAAATGTTATTTATGAATATAAGCAACAGGCATTAAAAAATAAGAAATTCGATGTTCGTGCATTGTGTATCTGCTACATCTCACATAGAAATGTTAGAAACTATACTTAGAGCTCCCTAAAATGAATTAATTGTCCTGGAATTTTTCATTATGCTCAAATGAAGAAGCAAAGTGATTTTACAACATGGTCCTCATGCAAATTATAACCAAGACAATTTTGAATCAAGACCATTTGGTTATGTGATTATTTGCAAGTAACACTGTCCTGAATTCACAACTAAACAGTTCACAAATCGCCATGCTGCTCGAAAATAATCAATACTAAGTAAATGAGATGGTGTTGTGTTGAGTCAGAAAAATAAATTGGCAAAAACTGTAAAATGAGCTTTGAAAAAAAAATTAAAGGCAAGTGATTTCTCTTCCAATATGAACAAGAACTTCTAATATCCCACTCACAATAAGAAAAGTATTTACCAATGCCATGTGGTTTTTCATCTCCAAGTGATGAATCCTCCCAATTCAAAACTTGACTGCTGGCCCTCTATTAATTTAGTCAGCAAACACTTATTGAGTACCTATCAAAGGAGCCTCACGCATCAGTAATTCCATGTGCTTTCTGATTGATTGTCGATTGTTATTCTACGCATCTGCTGAAAGTATGTGTTTTCACTTCTAACGAAGAGGCAGTATTATTTTGCCTGAAACTTCGGCTCGGCGTCCACAGGCTCCATAATAGCCTGGCCTCACTCAGGACTCCATTTCACTGAACACTTCAAAGTCCGGTTCTCAAAACAATCCAAATTCAAGTCAGGAATCAGAGCACCTTTGATCCTAAGTGACCACCGAGCACCTAATGTTGTTTCCCCTTCAGTAAAACATAGGTGGAAACCCCTTGCCTTACTTCCTTAGTGATGGAAAAATAATACGATGGTTTAGTAAGAAATCAAACGTGCTTGAAAAATTGCTGAGAAGGGTTAAACAGAAACAAAGGGTTTTTAAAGAAGAAAGCGATATTTGTAGGTGGCATTTCCAGTCCTTTCATTTTATAAAGGAAGAGCCTGACACAGGAGGTAGAGACGTTTGCCCATGCTCGCTCACTTAGAGGAAAGCCCAGTTTGGACTCCAGAGCCCTCGTCCAGTGCTTTTTTATGCCAAACTACATTGTTATTATTCATGTTATTATTATTATTGATGTTAAGGAATCTAAGAATGTCTTTAGATTTATAAAAAGATTAAGTTAGCTAAGCAGCTGTAATCTTCTGGATAAGAACCGATGGTCTATACTGCATAACGGTTTGTGCAAAATAACCCTACTCTCCTGGGAACTTTTCCAAGGGATAAAGAGGTTTACCATTGCACCTTGCACATTTTGGACAATTCAATGCTCAGGGAATATTATTCCAAGATATCAAGTGAGCAATGACTATTGAAGCAAATAGAATTGGAAACATAAAAATGTTGACACTGAACCTCTCTTCTATTTCAGTTACCAGTTTCATTCATTATAAATTAAGGAAATGGGGTTAGATCATCACTCAGGTACCCACAAATGCTAATATTTTATTAATCTATGCCCCATAAAGTTTAATATATTTCAAAGGAAGTGCAAACTCTATCCAATCATAACATTTGCCACACGAAATATTATAATTTAAAAATTAAACCTAAACTTGCAGGAGAAAAAAGCTGAAAAATGTTAAAATTAAATTTACTCTTGTAGCACTTTTAGAACTGAAATCACCTAATACGACCACCCCATCTCTTGACTTTTCTCCACATTCTCTTCTAATTTCTCTTATTGTACTTTTTAGGTTTTTTTGACAAGCATATCTGTGTCCCTTGTGTCTTTATTTTATTCCATGTGCATCTTCATGATTCAGCCCAAGTCTAAAGAGCAAAAACTCTTTTTAATAAAAGACAAAACAAAGTGCTTACATACCCCATGACGGTCCTCAAAGTACGCCAGGCTGGTTTTGGTTAAAACAAAGAAGCGGACTTTAAAGTTCGAGGGAGAAGTTCTTCTCTTTTGCTGGGATTTTTTGATGAGCTGTTCTTCCAGAAGGATAAAGTTGTTCATGATCCAATTCTTGAAAAGTGATGCGCCTTAGGCATCACCCTTCCGCACAACCAGAGGAGATAGCTTCGGGGCAAGGAATGCAATGAGGAGGCAGTTACTCTTGAGAGAGTTGTTCTAAGGCAATTTGCCTCCAACGTTATCTCTCTATCAACGCTCAGTCAACATCACTGAGCTTCTCCTCTGATGTCAAAGGCTGTAACCACATCCTTTCAAAACTCACTCACAAAAAAGAGGCATAGGTAGAAAATATACATACCCTTTGCTGCAGGGTTTGGAAATGATGTTTGAAAAACTTTGGACTCAAAATGATATGAAGGATTAGAGTTTAATCTTTATAGTTTCTGGTTTAGCCCATCCAATAGTTAAGGCATGTAGCATAAGAGGTAGGAACATGGGCACTGGAGCCATTGGGCATAGTTTGTGTATTAGTTTCCTGTTGCTGCTGTTATCATAAACTCGGTGGCTCACAAATTTGTTATTTTACCATTCTGTAGTTCAGAAGTCCAAAATGGGTCTCGCTGGGCTAAAATCAAAATGTCAGCAGGGCTGGGATCCTTTCTGGGGGATCTCTAACACAGAGTCTCTGTTCTTGCCCTTTACAGCTTCTCAGACCATCCACGTTTCTGGTTCCTGGCCCTCTGCCTCCATCTTCAAAGCCAACAACAGTGGGTCATGTCCTCTCATCTCATACAGCTGTAAGCTCTTCCATACTTAAGGACCCTTGAAATGACCTTGGGTCTGCTGGATAATCTAAAATAATCCCCCTATTTTAAGGTCAGTTGAGGTTGATGAGTATATAATGGAGAGCAAAACCCCACATAGGCTTGACTATCACGAAGCTTCCAGACTAGTAGGGGAGACAAACATTAATTTACAAATTGCCCTCCAAAATTTACAATTACAGCTGTCATAACGGGTATGAAGAGACAGTGCCTCGCACATAAAAAAGGATGTTTAAGAAGAATGTGTTGAGTGAATAATCACTGAACTGGGTTGGACAATGAAGAGACAATGGTCATAAAACACTTAAGAGAAATATATTGAAGTTTATTTTTTTTAATTTAAATGAAAACTCATAGGAAATTCTCCATGCTACAAATGAATGATTGCTTTTTTATCCTGAAACTTAGTGGAAAAGCAGAAAATAAGTCCTTCAAAATGGCATAATAAACAAAGCACGCATGGGCTCTGAAGACAGATAAAACTATATTAGAATCCCACCTTTCTTGCTTACTAAGTTGTTTCTCTTTAAGTGATGATCTCATCTCCTTGTTAAGGTTCTTTGGGGGACCGAATCCCACAAATTCTGTGAACTGTGGGTGCTGTGTATCTTGCCTTAGAATTAGTACATAGTTGAAATATAGTATGTGAATCCTACTTCTAGTGTGAAGTAAATAACCAAGAAATCTCAGTGTAAGCAGAGATGGCATATATTGGACAGGGATAAATAATGAAACAAAACAATCATTATTGCTGTATAGGATTGCAATTATCAAAAATTGATTTTTAAATGTAAATTATTAGACTACGGCTTAATTTTGTTTCGTATATTGGATGCCCCAGCATAATCAAGGCATTCAGGATGGTGGGGGAGGGGATACTTTAAATGATCCTCCTTCTCCCATCTGAAATTTTAAGACATGTGTGGAAATACACTGCCTGAAAGAGATAGTATTTTTTTATCTTTGGAATATGGGCTTGACATAGGGATTGCTGTTTTCCTCAATCTATTTACTCTTTTCCTTTTCCTTGGTAGCTGACTCCTTGAAGATTATCCAGGCCTCTGTCCAGCCAGAATAAAGGTTACATTTTTCAGTCATGTAACTGTTTCTAGATAATGGAACATAGCAGAAGCAATGAGCACAACTTCCAAGAAATGTTTTTAACGGCAATCACCATATCCTTTTCATTCTCTTTTTCCTCTTTTCTGTTGACTAGAATGTAAATGTGATGGTTGGAGCTGGGGCAGCTCTTATATCATGAGGTAGAAATTATATATTGAGGACAATGAAGCATAAGATAGAAAGAGCATGGGGTCCTGGTGAGCTTGGATCCTCCATACCAGCTTGGGTGCACTTTTTTTTTTTAACATAAAGACAAATAGAATTCTATTCTCTAAACTCTTGTAATTTCGAAGTTGTCACAAACAATAAACGTAATTTAACTAATACAGCATTATATTCCAAATTGGACTGTAAACTTCTTTGAGAACAGTAGATTTATACCTGGTTTGTTCAGGTTGTAAGATTTACAGACTTCACAAAGCGTTTTTATGTGGGAAAGCAAAATACCATCAGTAGCTATTGTGACAGGAGCCTTTTATTTGCTAAGTCTCCATGGAATGCAAGCATAAGTAATTTTATTCTCTCTCTCATAGCACCTTCAAATCCACTCACTGGGATTGGCTTTGTCCTTACATAAATGTAACCTTAAGGACCCATGTTCTCCCTGTCACTTTCAGGAAAACATGCATAAAGATAAATAATCCCTGCGCTTTGCTTTAAAAAGTTCAATTTACAGGAGCCAAATTAAAGGAGCTCCCATTTGTCAAAGATGGAACAATTAGGGCATCAAAAAGAACAATAACTGCAATACTGCAATAAATTGAAGAATAGCCAACATGTTAAAATCATGAGCTCATAAGATACTTGAAGAAAAATCCCTACTCAGCCATAAGAAGAGATGAAATACTGCCATTTGCGACATGGATGGACCTTGAGATAATCATGCTAAGCAAAATAAGCCAGACAGAAAAAGTTGAAAATGACATGATATCACTTATATGTGGGATATCAACCTAAAAGCAACAAATGAATAGGACAAACAAACAGACTCATGGACATGGACAATAGACTAGTGGTTACCAGAGGGGAGGGAGGAGGGCGTGGGAGGAGGGAGACAGGGTAAAGGGATCAAATATGTGGTGACAGAAAGAAATCTAACTATGAGAGGTGAACACACAGTGTAAATATATATATATATATGCCTTGCTGTTAAAGTGTACAGCTGAAACATTGGATTTCGTTAACCAATATCACCATAATTAATTAATTGATTAATTAATTTTTAAAAATAAAAAAAAAAGAAAAATCTCAACTAATTCATCACTTTTGGAAGAGGCTGGAAAACTGATTTATTATTCTAAAACCTGGAAAACAAAGGGAAAGAATTAAACACACTTCTGTTTCTCCTGAGGAACTATGTTTTAGTTTAGTAATCAAATATTTAATGAGGGAAAGTCCTTTAGAGAAGAATTACAGCTAATAAATGGAGTGATAAAACATCATCACTCTGCCATTCTAATGACATAATGGATCTAGGCAATGATCATCAATGGCTGCTAAAATCATTATGTGAAAGCCACCAGGAAAATGTATAATTTATGTTAGACTGATAACACTGTAACGTACTGCTCAATTTTAACATCACAACAGGAGAGACCACCAGACATTCTGTTTCCTGATATGATGCAATAGGAAGCACACAAAACCACCTACTCAGAAGTCTTGCCAAAATTAAACACGAATCTCATCAAACCTCTAGATCTATATCCAAGTTTGCAGGAAACGTAGGAGAGAGAGGAACATGACAAATGCATGGAGATACCGGAGATAAAGGAACATGACAGCTGCATGGAGATGCAATTGGACAAGTCCAAAATACATAAAATACTAAAGACAAATGATCTGTTTGTCTGCAACAAATAAGTCAGAGGGAGAACCTATAGACTAAAAGGGACGTTAAGCGACATGTAAGCATGTGATGAATTTGTTTGGATGTAGATTCAAACAAATTAATTGTATAAAAACAATATCGGACAGTTGGGAAATCAGAACAGTGACTTATATTTGAAGACTAATGAATCGTCATTATTAATGAATCATAATTAAATTGTTATTAATTTTTAAAGGTGCAGTAATGACACTGTAGTTATCTTAAAAGAGTCTTTATTTTGCACAGAAACATACTGAAATAATCATGTATAAAATAACAAGACATCTGAGATTTGCTTTGTTATAATCCAGTGGAGGGGGAGAAATAGGTAGGATTTGGCCATGAGTAGACAACCGAAGCTGGGTGATGGGTAGGTGAGGGTATTTTATTCTCTTCTCTTTACATTGCTATATGTTTGAAAATTTCCAAGATGAAAGGTTTAAAAAAAAGGCCTGTCCAGTTCAGGATAATAATCAAAACTCCAAACATATTCAATTTAACGCTTTTTCCTCAAGGTATGCGTAAGTCTGCTTCAGGCTTCTAAGCATGTTGCCTTTTCCACTACATCCTAACTCTTCCTCCTTCCCAAAAGACTAGACTGGCTCCTAACCTACCCATCAGGCTCAGGTTCGTGGAGGAAGAAGGGAAAAAAGAACAGCTTTCAATGAGGCTAAGCTGTAATCTGGGGTTACTGAACTCTGAATGTGATAGAAAGACAATTGCTACTTTTCCTTTCATGGGAAACTTTTGTTGTGTGTTTTGTTGTTGCCATTAGTTTGAGGGTTCTTGATGCGAGAGATGCCACTCTGACTGGCCAATGAGCCTAATCCTTAGCCCTTGGGCTTCTGTTGGTCCACTTCCAGTGTTCCCTCTGTTCCTCTCAACTCCATCGGGATCCCTTTTCCCATCTCAGTTATCCTCTTGGGTGGATTTTCTGTGAAAATGAGCCACACACCACTATTCCTTCCCATGGCTCTACTTGAAGACTTTGGCATCCTTGCCCTGCCATTCATGGATGTACCACTTGCCCCAAGTACAGCCCCTTCTCCTTCTGACACCAAACATGCAGCTCTTCCACAAGCCTTCACCATTACGTTTCTCCAAATGGGATTTAGACACCAGTCCTACGTCTCTTAAATTCTGAGATTTATGCCGAGCTCACTGAGTAGCCCCTTAAAATCCCTGTCACTAGGCTTCTAGCGGATGCGTGCACCAACCAGCTGCCCTTTCCCCTGGGCAGATTGTGAGAGAAAATGCACAGTGCACCCAAATCCCTCTCTTGACTTTTCAAGGCTTTGTGTTCTAAAGGCTACAGTTGGGTGAACACTGCTACTGGCAGAACCTGTTTTGCTTCTTATTGTGTCAAGCTTCG